CTGGATTCAGATGTTTTACTGAATGTCAACTCTGAGACACAGGTACATTCAGCTAACGAGTCACAAATAGAACAAATCTCTCGTCTAGGATTGCACTGCTAATCATATTACAATTCTCCTATATGGATCTGTGAAGTAACCGCAATTCACACAGGAAACACACACTAAGTTTGATCAAAATTCGGTCAAAATATCAACATCTAGATATTTAATAGTTAAATTCATGAGTCAATTAAAGCTAGACCACCACAAAAAACCTGTTAACACTAGATGGTCGTTTCGTACTAGTATGGGACTCTACAGCAATGCACATCCATGATCCTGCCATGTGGGATTCGAACTCAGGACCTATCGATCTCACTTACGAACTACCGGTGGTCTTGTTCACTACATTAGTAATAGGTATTTACATTTGTTTACTTTAATCTAATGTTCTAACAAAAAAAGGAATATTTTCTTAACATTTGACTACAGATCCCATATCTCATATTAATTTGTTTAGTTACTAAGATCATTTGAGATTAAAGTAACTCAGTGTAAATGTGTACATATACATGAATGAGATGTTAACTATATCAAAGTATAATTTCATAATTTGTATCTATGCAAATTATCACTAAGGTTTATAAGTATATCAGGTTACTTGCCAATTAACATTCAAAACATAGAAAACACACACATACACACACGCACACACACGGAAAATAAAACAGGTACAATGGTAAAACGTCATCAACCAAATGTATGCTATCAAGTTCATTGATTATGTCATAATGATTACACTGGAATACATATTGAATTGGAATATATGAAGGAAATAAGTCATTATTGTTTTGTTCTAGTTGACAAAACTCAACAATCATTCAGAATTTATTCGTTACCTCATTTATTTATGGAATATATTGAGTGTAGAAAGTCAGTGATTGACGAAACTATAGATTATTGGCTAACATCCATGACATGGAATTGAGACAAACATTTGGACTGACTAATAAATAATAGTTGAAACCATGAGTTAATTGAAGCTAGATCACCATGGTAAACCTGGACGCACTTGATGGCAGCTTCATCCTAGTATGGGACTCCTCAGCAGTGCGCATCCATGATCCTGCCCCTAGCGAGGTCCGAACTCAGGACCTAATGGCTTCGCGCGCGAGCACTTAAACACCAGACCACTGAGCAGGCATCCAACGTTGTTAATGTCTAACTTCAACCAATCCACGAAGTTGCATCACCGTACACCATTGTCTTCAGTGAGTTGATATCTCACAACCAACCTGGTTGAACTCCACGGGTAACGGCTTCTCACTAGAACTTCAGGAAATGCCTCTTGAAGTCAGTCACTAGTGAGCAGATGATTATTATCAGAAGGGGTTTTGTGAAGATTTTGGTAATTTCAGTAGTTGAGATCATGAATCAGTTGAAGCTAGACCACCATGGAAAACCTGGAAGCACTGGACGGCCGTTTCGTCCTATTTTGAGACTCCTCAGAAGTAGCATTTACACATTCGAATGCCGACTAAGTGGTTTTGAGTTTAAGCATTTATCATTCACTTAATCGTTTGTCAAATAAATTCATTCAGAGACTGATTGTCTATATATATATTCCATCTAAACAGTTTTCGCTTTGTTTTTTTAGTCACTGGGAATAGTTAGGAACAGACTACAACTTTATGTCATGAAGCCCATGAAGATAAACAATCCTTGAAAGCTAGAAGACATAAGAATAGCTGTTTTGTCCCGTGAACTCTTCACTAATTGTACAGCTACAACTGAACAATCATTACAATCCACCTATACTACTGTTAATAATGATTCTACTACTAACTGATAATCTGTGTCGAGAGGAAATTCTTGAACTTTTAATAAGATATTAAGTCTGATACATTGGTTATAGTTAGTTATATAATATACCCTTATGGGCCAGGGTAATTTTACATTGGTTTTCAGGAGAACAAGATACCATCCACAATTTCACGTGACAACCCAAACAGTACAGCTCAATGCCGATTAACAGGAGAGCCAGACACTGTATAGGCTTTAACGCTACAATCTGAATAGTACAGCTCAATCCTGCGGTGCAACCATATAGGTACCAAGCACCCTGATGGACCATTCGCACCATTCATATACATATTCACGGCATACTGATACATTGGACCAATCAGAAATGGGCAATTAGTGAGCGTACATAATTGGACGGAAAATGGCTCATATTTTTAAAGGATAAGACTCCAGTCATTGTTAGGGTAATTTTCTAAAGGACAGATATATACACATATATATGTGTATCAACGAGTACGCATAAATGTAATGCAGATTTGCCAAATGATAGGTATCATCTATTCTACAAGTGAATCCCAAATTACTTGCTTTCCCATAGAAATCGGTTGTGTTACAGACTACTGATTTATACTAATAGTCATATATTTCTGTCAATGACTTTCACCATGTTTTATATCACGCTTATTAACATTGTCAATGGATTGATTCTTACTATAATCACATTATAGAAGGATCCACATGAGTCAATGAATATTGACCAAAAAGTGATTAAAATGACCATGTGTACAAACTTAATGTGATTTCATTGTTTTTTCTTCTTCTTACTTTATTGCACTAATAAATACAATTTATGTTGCATAATAGTTGTGCAAAATAAGACTGATAATTAGTCCACCAGGGTGACTAGTACTTGTGTTGTTGTGTTACAGGATTGAGTTGTGCTATTCAGATTGTAGCGTTAAAACCTATATGGTGCCTGATTCTCCTGAGAACGGGATTGAGCTGTACTATTTGGGTTACAAATTTTAAGCCTGAGTAACGTCTGGCTCTCCTGAAAGTTGGACTGAGCTGTACTGCTCAGGTTAAACCTGGGCGCTGTCTGGCTCTTCTGTTAAATAGGATTGAGTTGTACTGTTTGAGTTGTCACGTGAAAGTCTAGATGGTATCTGATTCTCCTGAAAACCAATGTAAAATTACCCTAGCCTACAAGGGTATATTATATAACTGAACTGTGAATATGATTGATCATTATAAACATGGTACGTTTAGGGAGAAAAAATTGTATAATTAACTGTGGTATTTGTATGAACTAATGATTCCTTTGTATTTGATGACTGTCTAATTTCGAATTCTAAATACAATATGTTCGTTTGTGCTCATCTAGTTCTCTTTGATCTGAACTGCGTTATTTTGGGGATTCCTAGTTCGTATAGTAATCCAAATACTTCTAATCATCACATTGACGTTGCGATGGAGCCTGTGATAGGACAGTTGGACATATATTCAAATTTTGATGCTTTTGAGGATTATATGGAAAGGTTCGAAATCTAGATTATCACTAGAGGAAGATATTGAGGGTGTTAATATCGTGGCTCATTTATTACATTCATCGGAAAAGAAGCATACAGTATATTAAAAGCTCTGGCATTTCCGGGAAAGCCTGTTTTGCTTCTTTATGCAACTCTGAAGAAACTGCTACTAGACCATGTAAACTAGACAAATTTTGATTGCTTTAAAGGTGGAAATTTTCATCAGGACATTAAAAATTCCAGTACATTACTGCGTCATCCAAATTCAATGCGTATTCAAGGTTATGTAAATAATTCATTGAGGAGTTGCGAGGCAGGTCACGATGATATCAGTGATTTCAATACACAACAAATATGGTGATTGTATACAATTCCAGGACGCAGGTGATTCAGTTTGGATTTCAGTCGTTAATTCTAATACTGATGAGTATATTCTAGATTCTACAGAGTCTACCTCCGATACACAATCGGACAGACACATGATGAACCTAAGGAAAAGAGGTACGATTGATCGCAGAACTTTAGATTCTCATTCAAGCTGTGGTGGATGTGGTGTTTGTATGAACTAACTATTCCTTTGTACTTGATGACTGCCTGATTTTGAATTCTAAATACAATGAGTTGGTTGGTGCTCACCTAGTTCTGTCTACTTAGATTGCGCTATTTCAGGAATTCCTAGTTTTGTACAATAATTCAAATACTTCTAATTCATGAACCAATACACATCTAGGATTATAATCAGTCAGTCAGTCAGTAACAACGTAGAACTTCGTACGTACGTACATCAGTTCGAGTTGCCACACCACATTAGCACAGAGATGCACTTGTCGATTCAAATCCCGTAGTGATAGAGGTAATAAGAGTATAAGCAGTAATCGGGAAGATTAGGGTTTGGAGATGTTATTTAAAGAGTATAATCCAGTGAAAGAAATTTGGAAAGAGGAAAAAAAGGGACATGAAGAATTCAGAAGATTAGAGTTTGGGAGAACACAGAGAGTGGATGCACCTGCGCCATTGCAAACGATTTTGAGCCATGCTTTGGGAAAACTCGCTAATAAACAAGTAAATTGAAAGTCTTACTGTAACATTGAATTAGATAGCATGAATATAATATGGGAACAAGCTAATAAGAATTTAGAAAATGATTATCGATTTATTGAGTAAAATTTAGAAATCAATTGTGATTACATCTCAGTCCTACAGGAGGTCGGTCGTGGCTCGGATAGCTCAGTGGTAACGTCTCTTACACATAGTTCCCCTTATTAACGTCTCTGACTGTGAAGCTGGGTGACACGAGATCGAATCCGCCAGGGAGTACCATTTCCTTCAAGATTACAGGCAAACCTTGCTGACGAGTGCTAAGTAGCACGAAACCCGGGTCCAGGGTTTCCTGTTGACTACCTCCAACCACCATCTAATCTCAATATATAGTGCCCGCAGTGTCGAGTCACCTAGATTGGTGGCCACATTGCACCATGGTCGATAGCATTCGATCTGCACTAATAAGGACTAGAAACGCATGACATTGATCACCACCCAGTGATCAAGGATTTTTATGGTATATTATATAAAAAGTATAGTTCCCTCAAGATTACCTTGGTAACAAGTGTTGAATAGAATGAAATCTAGGTCCAAAATATCCTGACAACTAACTTGAACCACCAACTTACAGAAGAAACGTCTTTGTATTGTGTTAAGAATATTCTAAAGTTTATATGTATATTTAAGTAACACTTTATACAATGGAATGTAAAGGAAGTATGTGTATATCATATTGTCTTTTTGTTTATCAAAAAATAATCAAGTAGAACAGTTTGAAAAAAAAGTCAAAAAAATATAGTTGAGATCATGAATCACTTGAAGCTAGACCATCATGGAAAACCTGAAAGCATTGAATAGCCATTTCGTCCTACTGTAGGACTCCACAGTAGTGCTCATCCATGATCCCGCCTCGCAAGACTTAAACTCAGGACCACAGTAGGACGAAATGGCCGTCTAGTGCTTCCAGGTTTTCTATGGTGGTGTTTTGCTTTAGTTGACTTATGATCTCAACTATTAAAACTACTATAATATTCACAAAACCCCTTTTGATATCACACATACATATATACCACTATTACATCTTAAAAGAAAATTATCACAAAAGTACACACTGAACAATAAGAATTTCACACATTACTAAATAAAATTGCAGTGTGTACTACTGATTTTGACAGATATAAGTAGTATGTATCACCAAACAAAAGTGTAATGACTGAAGATCGAAGGTCGACATGATCAAAGAGAAGAGAATGACACCAGTGAGTGATTGGTATAGAAACGTAGAAACGACAATATCTGCGATGATTGTTTAACATTTTTTACCAATGAAGTATTGATTGAGTTTACAATGATGCTCTGTTATGTTGTATTGAAATACAATTTGATTGTCCACCACCACACCCAGCCTCCTTCCAAACTTGTCACTGAATTAACAATAAAGTAATATCTGAAGATAGTTCTTAAAAAATAGATTCTGTTATAAAAATACTTTTAAATTTATTCAATGTATTGAATAAAGAAAGGAGGTGTTGGAAACAAACAAAAAATGAAAGATCCCAAGTTTAATTGAAAATATAAACCGGTAACACAGAAGGTCTCCTTTGAATATGTCGTTGATGATAATGATGATGATGATGATAATGGTGGTGGTGATGGTGATGGTGAGGATGATCTATGAGAATAAATTACATGGTTGGTAATATCTAACATTCTATTTTGAATGGATTGATGTTGATGTGATAAGGAGCGCGAAATGAGAATGAATTCAAATGGATAGATTATTTTGAAGAAGAAGAAGAAGAAGAAGAAGAAGTAGAAGAAAAACAAATAATTCAACTAATCAGTGGATCTTCCAAACCGAATAAAACTAACATTTGATTTAAAGTTTGAACATGAGCTTCGATTGACACTGCAAATTGTCCTGCTTCTCTAAGTACCTTAAATGAAAAGAAAATGAAAATCAAAGCATAAATATAGTAGCTATCTAGTTTAAGATAAGAACAAGTGTTCAATTTCAGTGGCCCCCAAATACCCTGATACGGCCGAGAGTGGGGAGAGTCCACTCTCCCTCGAAAAATGCTCTCAAATGGCCACGCGTACATAGCCTTTGCCAGGGAAGTCCTACTCATTGCAAATGTCCGGCGCCTTAACCAGGTTGGTGGACATGGGGAGTCCACCTAGAAAAGTTGGAAAACCCTCTTCCCAAACCAATGGTGCACATGGTCTCCAGTATCCTGAAGGAACAAATGGCATATGAACCAATCGTTGGTCACTGTCTACCATGGGACTGCATCTCCTTACGATGCTCCACTGCCTTGTGGATCAGACTTTCAGGTCGAAGGTTCTGGTTGTGGCCCCTTAAGAAAAACACTTGCTTCGGTTTGGACACCCGGGCAGTATAACAGCCCTCACACATATCAAATGAGATTTGTATGTCACATTTGTAATTGGTGCCTCCATGTACCAATATCTATGTATTTAAATAAAATAAATAAAATCAATTTCAGTCAGTTTAAAGATCATAGTTAAAAGATGATAGGAAGTATCTAAAGTAAAAACTAACATTTTGCATTACGAAGGTCAATCAGGCAAAATCGTTTCTACATGGCCGTTGGAGGTAATCAATAGGAAAGCATTCGATCTGTACTAAGAAGGAATTGACACATATAACATTGATCAATCACCCAGTGATCAATCAATTGTGAAAAGAGTTTCTACTTCAGATTTTGATTCATGCTAATATATGGTTGAAAAAACTTAATTTGACAATCTATTCTGTTGCTAGGTCAGTCATTATGAGGTATTCGATTGATTGTTTAAAAATGCAGGTTTTTTGTAGTCACAATTCAGACTTTGATCATCTAATATTGAATAGGTCAGCGAGATCAGAAGACTCTGAGGGATAACAATCATAATTATTATCGGTTCTTATATCATCAGTGTAAATCCAATTTGGTTACTCGATTAAAATTCGATTGAATCCATTAGAAACAGAATCAATCATTAAGAATATCTTAAGTAAAGCTGAGGGTTAGATGTTGCTAGGTTCGCTACGCAGAATACAGTATACAACTACGGCACTCGAACGTATAGAACCCTAATAGTCGTAAATCAAAAGACAGAAGGAAACTGGACAAGTGCCTGCTAGGTAAGAACCGAAATGTACAGAAAATCATGGGTATTTATAGATATTAGCATTTGTTATAACAACATGTTATGCTACTGTCTAATAGTAGCATGCTACTTTGATATTTTAGAAAGCTCCATCATGTTCTGATTAAATAGAAACTCTTCGGTTTATTTAGGGCCCCTGGAGGCTCTGTCGCAGTTCTCGGAAATCGCCCCAACACGTATGAAATAATCAACTAATTTATAACACCGTAAACTTTGACTGTTTAGCATTTGGACCATATATTATGGATTATTAACTGCCATCCATTCCGAAAGAAGGACATAATTGGCTAAATGAAGACATGGTTATGGACTTTCACAGTTTTTCATGTCACTAAGTTAAGATTTCATGAATGATATATATCAGATGATTCTAGTTTACGGTTTATGACCTTAACTAATATAACTTGAAATTGATTGCGATCATGTCGTTGTATTTCATTTTCTTGTAAAGTTTGACTATGTTGTAGTCATCCAGAAAATTCCTCAAAGAAACGCCGAAAGAGAACCCAAAATCTCTGGGAGAACATCTTATCCAATCAGCATTCAGTAGAAGTTTTGCCAGAAACATGTGGAAAGTAGAGTCACATCTCGCGTTTCTCATTGGATGATTACCTGTACTGTTACAATGTTAAGTAGCGTTCCAGAGATTTCCAGAGAATCAAGGCCATCTAAAATACTATGAATACCGTAGATCTTCCGTACATAAACGAACATTCGGAGTAAAACGTTTCCTTCATGTTTCGTCTCCTTTTATCTCGTGTTTAAGTCGCTGTATAGATTTAGCCATAAAAAAAGGGGGGGGTAGATTACTAGAATAGCTTAGGAATCGAATCTAAAGTTCAATTAAACGACTTATCACCAACAACTTGACTTCCATCTTACTTTCCACTTTTATATAGCTCCCAGACCTTCTGTTAACGACTAACATCATATACTACTCAGGTCAATATAAGTAGCACACACTACAGTGTATGTGTCATTCAATTTCGTTCAAGTCTCGCGAGGTGGAATCGTGGATGTGCACTGCTGAGGAGTCCTACAGTAGGATGAAATAGCCATCCAGTGTTTCCAGGTTTTTTCATGGTGATCTAGCTTCAATTGGCTCATAATCTCAACTACTAAAATCACTATAATATACACAAAACCCTTTCAGTTAGTTATAAACAAAGTCTAACCTGAAACAAATGTGTATCTGGTTACAGTAAATGGGAAATGAGAAATGGAAGAAGAAGAGATGAATGATAATAGTAATAAATATAATAAAGTAGAATCAATGTATTTAAGTTTTAGTGACCGGTTTCGAACCATATTAAATGAAGTTCCTAAACATTAATTCTGATCAATATATATACAGATACTTCAACCAGGATGTCTGTACTTAATGGTAAGTTATAAACTAACAGTTTATGATATAGTGAATTGATAGTATGTCTTCGTTAGAACAACTCTTCTATCTTCCATCAAGCTTGGTGAAGAATTAATGCTGATAATGGTGTTCAGAAGAACAATGACAGTTCCATGACCAAAACATCCAGCTCAGAGAGTAAAACACCTAAACCATGTTAATTTATATCGCAGTAACTCTTTTAGGACTGAAATCTTTACGATTGAATAATGAGTGATAACCAATGTCAGGTTATGCTTCTTGATAAGTGTCACCAACAAGCATGAAATCTAGTTTCAAGAGCATTCTCTCAATCATCTCCAATAACCTAACATGTGACATAATACACTACGGTGTCAGGTCACTTGGCCTAGTAGTCCCATGTTGTTACTTCATTGATATAATTTGATCACTATTATGAACACTGCTAGCCACTATTCATCTTTGCTTAAAAAAGCTTTTGACTTAAGGTTATATCGAGGCAATCTGCAGTCCTAAAAATCAATGGGAAGGTTCAAGTAAACAATATCAAGTGAATTTAAAATCCATCCCATTGCACAACCAAGTGGTTAACAGGACTCAGTAGCTAAGTGGATAACGTGGTGACGTTTGAAGTAAACGATAATCGGTTGGAGTCCTGAAGTGAACAATATCTATGAGATGTATAGTACATCCAGCTGACGAGTTCCAAATAAGATGAAACGTGCATCATTGGGTTCCACTACAAACCACTATCCATCTTTACTTATCAATAACATAAGTTATATAATTGATCATAGAGAACATATTCAAATCAACAAGTTTACAGTGGTATTTAAGGACATGGGATTATAACACAGTTAAGTGAAAAAATCGATTTCCAATTCATATAACCTTAATCTATCTAATCTTCTTTTATACATACAGTTTAAGCTTTATTTCATAGATTGATAAAAGCATCTATATTTTATTTATATAAATCCACATACATACACTATTTTAGTATTGTTATTATTAATACTATGCAATCTAGAATAGTAATGTCTCTGTTATATCATCATATTGAATTAGTAAAGAATTCCGATAGGCCCAGGGTTCGAATCTCGTGAGGCGGGGTCGTGGATGGGCACTGCTGAGGAGTTCCACAGTAGAACGAAACGGCTGTTCAGTAATTCCAAGTTTTCCATGGTGGTCTAGCTTCAATTGACTTATGATCTCAACTGTTGAAATGAATTCTTTGTAAAGAGATTTCTATAATGTATTTCATGTTTTAAATCATTAACTATTTCCATATTTGTATCGTTTACATAATATTTAATTACTTACGCCTGTTACCCTATGTAGAGGAGGATAGGTCACCTATCAGAATTCTTTATCGAACTCTGTCTTGAACAATCCTTTCTAGTTTATTAATTGTATACCTGTTATTCATTATTGTACAAATTGAGATTTCTTATATATGGTGAACATAGTTTTATACAGGTCATAGTTATAAGATACTCTTGTGGGCCAGGGTAATTCTACATTGGTTTTCAGGAGAACCAGATACCATCCAGACTTTCACGTGACAACCCAAACAGTACAGCTCAATCCTGTTTAAAACGAGAGCCAAATACCGCCGAGGTTTAAATTTTATAAACCGAGCAGTACAGCTCGATCCTGTTTCACAGGAAAACCAGACACTGTATAGGCTTTAACGCTACAATTCGAATAGTACAGCTCAATCCTGTGGTGCAACCACACAGGTACCAAGCACCCTAGTGGACCGTTCCCACCTTCCATATACACATTCACGTCACATGTATAATAATTATTCTGATCAATGATCGCGTGAATCAATTATGCACACCACATACAAGCCAAAGTTGACCTAATCCGTTTACACGACAGTCAAACTCATTAATGTTAGCAATGTCGAGATGCCTTACAATGTCCCAATGACAATGGTCTCTGAGAACACTGAAAAGCAACCACCAGTATGAATGAAATCAACTAACCAGCAAACCAATTTTGTGCAATGCTGAACCGTCCACAATACCAATGGCGAACATCCAGCCTCATATGAGATCTTCTACAAAGCCATATAGCTCATACTGCATACAACACATATGTAGGGTAGTAAATGAAATAGCCCAGCCTGAAGCGTTTGTGCTTAAATAACGCTTAAAACCCATTGTTTGGTGTTAGAATACTATTACTAGACCACCAAGATCATTTTTATCGCATTTGCGACATTTTCATTTTTCCGACTTTTCAGACCCTGAGTTAGGGGTAGTACTCTTTATATAGGTCGCAGGAGTTTATGTAAGACTCTTGGTTGCCTTTATTTTTTAAGACCCCCATTGATAGTTTGTGAATGAGAAATTTTTCTATACTCTATGGGATACACTATGGGAGAGAACAAACCAAATCCCAACGGAGGAAGGAATCAGAAGAAAGCGCTAGAAGTAAATAGAACATATATTGAGGAAAGCACCAAACTGCATCACAGGGCAAGCTTTCACTTGAAATCCTCAAAATCAAAAGAACAGAGGAAGACCAAAGAACAGATTACGCCGAGAATTGGAGACAGCCATAAGAAGAATGAACAACAATTGGATAGAACTAGAAAAGAAGGCCCAGGACAGAGTGGGTTGGGGAATACTGGTCAGCAGCCTATGCTCCATTGAGAGTAACAGGCATAAGTAAGTAACTAAGTAATGGGATATACATAAGTTGAGTTTATGAAATTATTGATTTCAATGTAATCTAAATGATAATAATGTATGTTCACTTTAGTAAATAAAGAATTAACTTACCAACAACTCACAATTATCCTGTTCCAATCCTAATTTTCTAATAAATACCGATCGTTTAGGGACAATGAGTAAAACAAACTAGAAAAATTAATTTGATATCAAAAAGAAAAGGGAAAAATGAAGAAAATACTGTAATTAGTAATTGTGTACATAATACTAACTCCACCTGTAGCTCTTCTAGAGTTACTGCCGGTCCCAAGCCCGGGTAAAGGAGGAGGGTTGGGAATGGGGTTAGAGACCCTATCCTATAGAAAACTAACTCGCTAAAAAAAAACGCTAAACGCTAACGCACTTAATACTAGACTTCATAGAAATTCTAGTGTAGAAAATATGACTAGTCAAGTAGGTTATGTTAGAAATGAGATTGTAACTAATCAATTATGATGAAATTGAATTATATTACATCATGTATTGATCAGAGCTGAAAATTGTAAGCCATTAAGTTTTGACTGACTAAACCCATCAATCGCATCCATGACCTTAAGATCCTGGATTCGATATCATAAGGAATAGTAGTTAACTACTATGGAAGGATTTCTTACATCTTACCTAGTACCTTCTGGTATTTAGTGACGTATTCATTGATATTAGTACGCTTGTGGATTTCAAACACGAAGCCCTTACCTCACTCTTACAATCAATGATTTTGTAATGAACGAAGTTATGAGCTTCATCGTATGCACACGAGTGTAAGCAGTTTTAAGAGAGGATAATTGTTCACCTCTCCCTTTTTCTTATTTTTTTCTCAGACCTTTCAGGAAAGCCCGTTGCGTAACCTATGTACATACCTATACACATAAATTATTGAAACTGAGACTCATGCAATTCATGCATATAGTCATGCACAAAACGGCCTTTCGCGATTTTAGTACCTGGAAGTTAGACCATCAAGTTCTGTGTTGATCCTCTAAGCTAGCTATTGAGGTTATCTTCATTACCCGGCATCACCACGAAGAGACCCGCAGGTCGAGTCTTGCTACTTCGTTAATTTTTTTTTATGATCAGTTGTTTCCAGTGGGTTTTTTTTGTTATCTAAGGATTAGTAGTTGAAATCATGAGTCAATTGAAGCTAGACCACCATGAAAAACCTGGAAGTACTGGACAGCCGTTTTGTTCTAGTATAGGACTCTTCAGCAGTGCACACCCACGATCTTCCCCCCCCCCGCGAGATTCGAACCTAAGACCCATCAGTCTCGCGCGCGAGCGTTTAACCGTTAGACCACTGAACTGGCTTGATTTCGATTTACAGCACAAACACCATGAGGTTATTTCTTTGGAAACAAACAAACATACACCAAACTACAAATAATACTCACACGAAATGCATGACGCATTAATTTGTTATGATATCTTGTCAATGTTTTATCATAAGCTCTTATAATCATATCACGTATTAATTCATTATTCTTAGATTGAGCAAAGTAATGCAGGAAACAAATAAGAAATTGAAATGTACGCTTTAACCATAATAAACCAATTGATCCGGAAGAATCATCACGATTTATTTCATTAGCTAATAAGTCATATAACGTATTCACATGTAGATTGGTAGATGCACGTGATACTTTCTATACAATAGAATATACAGAGAGAGAAAAAATACACATGAAAACGGGATATGTGAATAGTAGCTTGAAAGATAGAAATATTGGTTAATGAAGAGAGTCAATGGTGGTTAGAGGTAGTCGACAGGAAACCCTGGACCCGGGTTTCGTGCTACTTAGCACTCATCAGCAAGGTGTGCCTGTAATCTTGAGAGAACTGGTGCTCCCTGGCGGATTCGATCCTGAGTCACCCAGCTGAACAGTCAGAGACGTTACCACTGAGCTATCTAATCTCAATATATAGTGCCCGCAATGTCGAGTCACCTAGACTGGTGGCCACATTGCAACATGGTTGATAGCATTCAATCTGCACTAAATAAGGACTTGACACACATGACATTGATCACCATCCAGTGATTAATCAATTGTGAAGAAAGTCAATAAATATTCATCATCTTGTTTTGGGACTCTTCTACAATGTACACACAGCATCTTAGATGAAAATGAAATTTTGATATTATAGTAATATATCGGGTAAACTATCAAATTGTACAAAAGAGTACAATCCCAAAACAGTCTGTAAATGCGTATTACAGCTAGATTATCATTCATTACTTAACTCTTGATATTGTTGACTTTAGAGACCTGATAACTTCTTCATATAAAACTTTACAAAATCCACGATACGGTCTCAGTACAATGCTCAAAAATATTATGTGTTTGGAACCTTGTAAAATGAGGGTTGCATAATGTTGAAGAATACAAAATGAGGACAATGGAATGAATAGGGATCATGCTAATAAAGGATGACCATCAATAGGGTATATTTTAATAATGGGGATCAGTGGAAAAAGGGAATAACATTTTGAACGATATGAAATATCACCACGAATACTTAATCGTAATCACGTCTGTAACTTATACATTTTCGGTTACTTGAAACTGTCTAACTGTTGGAATGATCTAGAAAACTCCTCGCCAAAGAAAAGAAAGTTTCAGGAAACACTAAAAAGCATCCCATCCAATCAGTGTTCACTTGAAGTTTAGCCAGAAACATAAAGAAAGTGAGAAGTCACATGCAGAGTTTCTGATTGTTTGATCATTATACTGCTACTATGTTTAGTAGCATTCCAGAATCCTCGAACAACCCAATAACATTTAAAAGGTTATAAAAACTCTATATTTTCTGCATTAAAATGAACCTTTGGAGCAAAGTGCTTCTCGCATATTTTGCACCTTTTCCCTCGTGTTCAGGTCACTGTGTAGTTCTAGCTTGGGTGTTACGAGAATAGCTTAGGAATCGAATATAGCGTTCAATTAGCAAGACTTATCACTAACAAATACTTGGTTTTTGTGTGGGCTATGATACTGCCCGGGTGCCCAGACCGAAGCAGCTGATTTTCTTAAGAGGCCACACCCGAAACCTTTAACCTAAAGGTGTGATCCACAAGGTAGTGAAGCAATATCAGGATTTGCAGTCCCATGGTAGCCGGTGACCAATAATTGGTTCATACGCCATTTGTTCCCTCAGGATCCTGGAGCCTATGTGCACCTTGGTTTAAAATCAGGGTTTTTCGACTCCCTAGGTGGATTCACCATATTCACAAACTTGGTTAAAGCGCCGGACATTTACTTTTCGTCCACTCAACTTCGTATACGCGTGGCTATGTGAGAGCATTTGGAGAGGGAGAGTGGACTCTCCCCACTCTCAGCCATACCAGGGCATTTGAAGGCAATTACGAAAACATTTGAAAAAAAACTTTAAACATTATTACAGTTTACTCTTTTCTTATTAACTGTTCACTACTAAGTTTGTCAAGATTTTGAATATTGTATGTTAAATAAACCTATCAACTTGCATTTAACTGTGACACGTGGATAACAAAACATCTAATATATTCGTATCTGATAGTGTAAACAATACTAGATTTAATAGTTGAATTCATGAGTCAATTGAAGATAGATCACCATGTAAAACCTGGAAGCACTGAACGGCCGTTTCGTCCTAGTACGGAACTCCTCAGCAGCCCTCCAGGCGGGACTCGAACCCAGGACAAATCGGTCTCGAGCGCGAACGCTTAAACACTATTGTGTTAGATTTGTTTATAGTACTGAAGGCTGACAATTACATATCTTGAATTTATTGAAACTGGACATCAAAGCCTTTGGGTGCCGGCTAGTGATCCAGCTTAAGGATTTACACACGAGACTGAAGGTGTTGTGTTCGGCTGCCGGATAAGAGTCCCTGGATGCGCACTTTCTAGGAATCACATTCTAGGATGAAACGATCCTTTATTAACTCCAAAGTTTCATTAGTGTAACTGAGATCAGATCAGATTTAAACTATAAAAATTACATAACAGTTCAAAAAGCATGTATAACCCTAAGATTATTTCACGTAATCTACCCATTACAAATAGGAACTGAGCTACCAAGATTGTAAGCTACGAACATAAATAAATAGTTAACCAATTGTATTTACTCAAACGCTAACCATCTTGATTCAATCTAACTTTCATGACTTACCTTTAATAAGCTATTAATTAGTAAGATTTGTAATTTGTTTATAGTTGCATGACCTTTTAGCGGCCCGTTGATCTGACTCCAAGATCGTAAGGTTGTTTGTTATCGCCTATTCTCGTATATAATCGTCGACTTAAATCGCGTTGGTCAATAACGGAATTAAATGAGTCGAATAACGAGAATTGACTTGTGAATACATATATTTTGTATATGAAGCGAATGAAACAGAGCAAAGCAAAATGACGCGCAGGGAAAATGGCTGAGAAGCCAACTCCCCTTTTAGTCAAGCGTTACTCAGTATTTATAGTCAGACAAAAATAAGCTACAGACATGTGATTAATGCGATAAGAAGGGCACACACATATGCGCTCATATAAAAACAGTCTAGATTGATAAGCGAATAAATAACAAGGTCAATGTATGGCTCAAGTAAAATAAATAGAATGGGATGTTCGAAAGCTCGAATAAAGTATATGGGCTTAATATAATAACTGACACTACAACCTATTGAACAAATAAGTGGCTATGTTTCTGCGTATTCAGCTGTAACGTCTTGCAAGATTCCAGCTTGTAAATTCGTCATCAAGTTAACTCAGTTTCCCTAACAATAATAATATTAACAAGTCTCCAGCGATTTACTTTTCCTTGTGTACTAAGTGGTGAAATGACAAGGTAGCTGAATAGTCTAACTACTGGAGACATCCAGAAACATTGTAGATATTGTAAATAGAAACGAGACAAGTGTATTATCACATTTAGGGAGTACTTTGACAAGAAACAAAACTTACATACTCTAAATTTGTAGACTAAAGTATTGCTGATCTAAATTTTCCTATGTATTCAACAGACAACATATGATGAGTTCCAACAATACGCAACATAATAAGTATTACTAGAATAAGAATTCCTACAAAAAGTATTCGTAAGTTCGAATCTACACATTCATGTATTTCGCTCTGATATATGGATCTAAAAATTACTTGAAGCCTTTTTCTACTGTTTCGTTTTGCTAGGGCAAGTGATAGCTTGATCAATTGGAGTGTGAATCGTTTACAACATGTGTTTACATTTTGAGGATTATAAATGTATAACTGTATAATATGGTAATGTGTGCTCACACGGCATGTTTTAGAATCCTTATTGTTAAACACGACTCGGTTCAATCCAAACAAATCTGACTGTTAATATAACTGTGGAATACTTATATAAAAACTATTATGTCCATAGATTCTTTTGGTTTATTTCGAAAGTCAAGTAAATCCTCGTCACCAGTATTTGGTTATGCATTTTGTACTTTTTTTCTTGTGTTCGAGTTGCCGTGTCAGAGTTAAGGTTGTAATCAGCTAGGAAAACCATTTAGGCGTATCGGTAGTAAGACTTATCAATTTTTAACACAAGACACTGTATTTTCTCCACAAACAAGGAAGTGTTGAACAGATTTTGTATTCTAATTTATATCTCTTCCACAGCTCCTCTTCCTTGTAATAATACAGGAGACCCAGCCCATAAACTTCAAGTATCATGATGAGCATAAGATACCAATGTGCTTTTAATGATATTGTTTGCTCAGAATTGCATAGTTCATTTGCGAAGCTTCCATTGTTATTACGGCCATAATCATCATCAAAATTCATTTATGTAGAAGTGAGCTCTTTAACTATTCTATATGGACCAAGTTAATTCATTCTGGTGGCCGAGTTATTGACTGGTTGCTTTTTTCATTTGTCATTGGATTAATGTTGACTGTTTAGTTTACCTGACCTTTGATCACGTGATTGACTAAATTATTCTGTGCTAGCAGATTGATTGAATCTATTTCGATTGCTTTTTACTGAATGCTAATTGATCTGAATGTCATGCTTCAAATATCGCCTTGGCATTTACATAATCGTCTTAATCCAAAATTTCAACGTTTTTCCAATCAAAATCATATTTATATGCATTAATAAAAGTGATATCACATTATATTGTCACACTGCTATTGAATGTGAATGTAAAAGAAGTGTCTACTTTGTCCAGTGCTATATTCCTAGCAACTGATGCAACTTATTTTCGAAATGACTCTGCGTGTAACTACATTAGCAGTAGTATTTTTCAACCCATAAAATGGGATGAATTGATTGTCTCAATTTGTGGTTGATATTAATTCTAATAAGGTTGTATAGTCATAGATACATGAATGAAGAATTTTTTTTTCAGTAGTTCTTAATCAGGCTGTAAAGTTATATATCTAAATCAATAATCCAAAAGAATGGCCAAGTTCAAAGCAGATACATAATGTGAATTTAAGGCTGCTTGTAAAACAATATAAATTTGTTAATGTTGAAATGACTGATATACAGTTTTAACTTAAATAAGTTTATTTATTGAATGAAATAAAAATGAAAAATCTAACTATAGATCTCTGTAGTATTAAGTGCTGTGCATCCACTCAACGCTATCAGTTGAGTTCCAGAAGTTGGGACTATTGTTAAGAGAGTAAAGTGAGACACCAAGTAGTGACTTAAATCGTTTTGAGTGCAAACGATATAAGAAATTGATTTTTTCCAACCGTCTTTGGCATATAGTTACACCGTGAGAAGAGGTAATTGTATAACTTAGTCAGTTAATTATAGATGCTTAGTTGTACGATATAGTAACTATGTGAACACATAGTTAATTATCAAATAATTGATGTTAAATGTTACTCAGTTCAAACTAATAAAATTTGACTACTGATCTGGGTGTAAGTAAATCAAATAAAAGGTCATATATTAATGCATCATTTGGACTCGTTTTCCGGTTAAATAAATCCATATCAGTATTCTTTGTAAGTTAACTACGCGTCTTCAGATTTGGAGTCTTTAGTACCAAACAAGCGTCAGTTAATCATGTTACAGACACAACAGCAATATGAATTGTTGCTTCGTATGAATAAAATCTTTAATCTATCATGAAATAAAAACAATGTATGTATTGAAATTAATGATTTTTCGAAACTTACTTTAATATTCCCTTCCACATCATTTCGTAATAATGCAAATTTTGAATCCCATAAGCCTGATCGACAAAAATATTGATTTACAATCAACAACACAAAGTATAACATGTGTACTTACCGAAAAAATCACAAATCATTTTGGATAATTGTAGAAATGTTTGTATATCAAGATTTTTTTCATCTTTAAATATTGGGATATTAGAAAAGAATGTAATCATTGTAATCCGTTCTTGTTTATTGTGTACAAACAAAAAATTATGAGTTAACGTTGCAATCAATTAGATTATCAAGCAAACAAAACCCTGGAAGAAACACAACCAAAACAACAATAAGAATTGAAAACTCAATAATAGTATGTCATTTAATAAGTACATGGTTTGAAACATACTATTTGAGTGTAAAGATTAGTAATAATTTTATCCTTCAGTATAGATAGAAGTTTTCAAGATTCGAAATGCTGGATAAAATTTGAGTAATTTAGCCATTAGATCACTTCTTCAGTGAACTTCTTAACATTTATAAAAATATATACAGTATTAACAATTAAGGTTGATCAATTAAATGAGATGTTAACAGTTAATTTAATGTACAAAAACTTCTAAAACAAACAATACTCATCAGTTTGGTCATTTTTGTACTTGTTTGAACAGTCGTCAAGAATACAGACAAATTTCAATTTTGTAAGTTCATTTCAGTTGATCATTGGGTTTTTAAGACATCCAAACAGTATCATACAGTTTACAAGTATTATCATTATCGTATAAAAACTAGTTCTTGTTTCAAAAGTGGTACGTAATCTTAAACTTGGCAATCATTGTAACAAATTTATATAAAAAACTATCGAGACCCATCATGTCCAATATTTAAATATTTAGAAACCAAAACTCATTACCACAAACGTATTTTTCTGTACTGGGAAAAATCTCGTATAATTTGCACCACCGAAATGTGGATGCATAACTGAGCATCAAACAAAATTTAGTTTTAAACAAACTACGATGGAAAATCACTATATGTTAGTTCATCAATTTTAACTATCTTAGACTGGGATATTGCTCATCGCCCATGTGCTGTTTTAATGATGGGAATTTGAAATGACAAAGATAAAACCAACATATTTTGTTACAAATTTCCAAATGATGTTAAACTTAATATGTCACAAATATTTTGAAGAAATGGAATTGTTAAGTTAGTATCTGTGGTCCGTGATCCATCCATTCTTTCAGACATCAAGAACATATTTTGGCATGATAAAACAGAAACTGTAGTGACTGTAAAGTTAAATTTTGCCTCTTCAATCAAGATATTAGTTTTTTGATCGAAACGATGTATTACCAGAAAATATCATAGCCTATATCCAACCTCAGAACACTCATGATCGCTAAAGAAGCCAGTGTGAAACTCTTACCATGAACATCATTTCAATAACTTCATCATACCATACACACTTATTCTGTAGTGTAGCGAAGAATTAATAATATTGGGTAACCGACATATAGCCAGCTACGTGTCACTGAATTCCACTACTTCAACTTCCACTGACAATAGCTTATTGCACTATGACAAATGCGCCACCTGTGATGGTCCGTGAATAGACAGAAGGTAATTCGTGTACTATAGGAGCATGTGGAGTAGCTTGCGTGAAGAAGATTGAGTAAATGAGGAGCACTAGAAAATATAAGTCAGCGTGTCCTTGTTTCAAATATGAAGCAGATATGCTAGAAAGAGTCCAACGACGAGGTACTAAGATGGTACAAGGCCTATCTGGCCTATCTTATGAAGACAGACTGAGACACCTTAACTTATTTCCGTTATCTTACCGTAGAATAAGGGGTGATCTAATATTGGCCTATCGTATACTGAACGATGACCTTGGTATTAACATGTCTTATCTTTTGCTTCCGTCTAGAACCGATCATTTGAGAGGACATTCGAAGAAAGTTCAAAAACCGAGATCAAACCGTTTACGTTTGGAGTTCCGTTTCTCGCACCGAGTAGTGAATTACTGGAATTCTCTACCGGAACACGTAATATCAGCACCATCTGTTAATATATTCAAAACGAGTTTGGACCTCCACAGTATTACAAACTGCAAGGATTAATATAGGTCGACAGACCTCCTATCCTTATTACTGAAGACTGAACCCAGTAAGCGCATACGATGCACTTGATTTTATTAGGGGAACAAATAAACGAAAATCAGAGATAAAACAAGCCTCGGATTTTGACAGTCTTCGAATCGAAAGAAGCATATAGTTTGATGCACTACGACTGTAAGTTTCAAAAAGTTCTCGTCTCTAAAAGTCCAGATTACATATGAAATTCGTACGTTAGAGTATATTTGTCACACTGGCGTAAGCTAACCTCGAATACGCATATCTACGGAACACTCGTACGAAAAATTATAAATGTGGTTGACTGGAAGAATGAAATGCCAAACAAACTTGAGTAAATGCATTGATTATGGAAAATGTTTTAAGAAGAATGAAAACAAACCTTGAGAGCAGCGGTCAAACTAACATGACCTTGCAAACATTACAATATCCAGTGCTGTGAGATAAAACAACTCTCAACGGGCAATTTTTTACGTTTTTCGTAGTCACAAAAGAACCGTTGCTATAATCTTAATAGTGACTTTAATGAAAAGCTGATTGTGAACCATACACAATTGTCGACTGAAACACTGGTCTAGAAGTTGAGATTTTCCAAGTCAGATCGAAGTCTCTCGGTTCGATGTTCGATAGGGTCGTGGGTACATCATTCTGAGGATTACTATGCATGAATGAAACAATCACTCAGTGCTTCCTTTTTTGCAATGGTGCTCTAGCTAGTACTGCCTCATGAAGTAAATTGCGTAAATTCCGTTTTGATGGAGTGAGGTACTTGCTCAATGAAAAGACGTAGGAGTCATCGAACTGCTGTCAGCGATAATGCAAGTATCATTGAGATACCGTTATCTCCATCGGAGAGAAAAATATCGTTTCGAGACTGTAGGAAGTCATTGCTCAAATGGAGTACAAGTGCTGAGAGAACTGACTAAGTTTGCGATCGACGGGTGAATTTATCCGCAACGCAACCATGTAAACTTAATGTATCGCCCAGTGTAAGAACGGTCATCTGTGCGCTCAAGTAACCACAGATTTTGTCATTTCATGATGTATTTTTAATTAAATAAGTAGATTATGTTGTTGATTTTGCTCATTTTTTAGTTTTTATTCGCCACTTCAGACTGTGTTACACTGTACGTTCATTGCACGCTGGGGTGATATCCCAAGTCAAAGTGACTTTAATCACATAGCTGACTGTTTCCAGATAGACCATGAGTGCATAATGTTACTGAATAAAGGTTTGTTGTTCTGTAAACTATGTTTTTATGAACAACTGACTGTTATCTTCAGCCTGAAAGCAATATATATATCCTTTATCTTCTGTTAGGTAAGTTCGACTAGCCTATATTTCGTGTTTTGGTTTTATCGGCTGAATTATGTCCATTTAACTACTTTAAGCAACATGTCTGTGCAAATGAAACAATAACTGTAAGATCCAAACTACGTTTGGACTGCTGGACAGCTGTCTGGATGAGTTAGATACGCGCCCTCGCCCGATTGAAACCAAAACAAGTAATTGGGTAAGATAGCGGTTCTATAATTTATCATAAAATTAAGTGTACATTATTACCTAAACAAATATAACCACTCAGCTATCCAACCAATAATTGTTCAATTGATCAAATCTACAATAAATAAGAAAGTTGATAAAGGATGCAAGAAAATTACCAATCACCACAAATAAATGTTATTCTATCCTGTCTGGATAGATCACGTACAGATTCGTTCAAAAGGTAATAATTGGTCGCTCTATAACACAGAGTGTTTTCAATTCTGGAAGAGTGCTTCAATTCACAACCAAAATGCACAATTCCAGTCAACACAGGTCAAGCAATCAAAAGTAGGAACAAACCAAAATGGCTGCCGCCCAGACTTAGTATAAAGTAAAACAACATAAGTGCAGTTCGGGAAGAAACATGGGGAATTAGTGAAGGTGTAGTAAAAACGAAAACTATAATAAAATACAGATATTAACAATTCAAATGTAGCCAAAAAGTTAACAATGTACAACTAAGAGGAACAAAGTTCAAGTATATACATGGAGGGATTTTCACAAACACACAAGCATTCAAAATGGATCTTACAATAACTATGACACTTGCTTGGTTTAGTATTCTTAGTTATCGTATAATTCAGTTTAGTTGAAAGAATTATGGTATACTTAAGTATAGTGCTTGAAGCCTGTAACGAAACAGATCAGTTTAGTAAGTAGAGTTGCCTGTTTCTGATGAGTATACTAACTCAAATCAGTCTGATTAAAAATAGGAAAAAACGTGCCTTTGATGCTGATGCTGTCATACATTATAAGATAGCTTTAAGTATGTTTCGTGTTTATTTGTAGACAGTACGTCTAACACTATTCATGTTTCAAGACCACTGTCATTAAACGATTTCCCCAGCAATAACAGGGGTATCAGGATAGCTAAGTGTGTGAGCTTTCATTTGCCTGCAGAAAAGCAGTATACAGTCTTGGGGGATGAGTGTTCTGTGTCTCAATTAAATGCAGCTGGCTATGGACAAATGTTAAAAATCTTTTTGACAACTGGGACTTTTAGTTCATCAGACACTAACTCTGCTTGTATATCTTCCTGTTAAACTGGACGCAGATGCATGGGAATACTTAAATGGGAGAAAAATAATAAAAGCATTGGAATACGGTACTAAGCCCATGTTGCGCTTTGCACAAGTAATAGTAGCTGACCTGATCTAATATTCATGAACTCAAGGTAAATCACAACTGCATAAATTCTTTGCTAAAAAAGATGTGATTTGGTTATTTATCTAATCCACATTTCTGACTAAATTCATCACGTTTTCATTTAGAATGCAACAGGAGTGAGCCTTCACAGATCCTAAAACTGTTTCGCCCTTAGAACTATGGTCCTATGGAGCTATTTACGGGAGATCCAACTAACAGCAGATTATAAAAAGGATGCTGGACGTCCATTTTCGCCTTACAACCACTTACAGTATTTTTTGACTTCTTTTACTCTTTCGTTCGAAAAAAACAACAAAAACTGCAGCTTAACATTAGCAATACAACTTTTAAACGGGAAGTTGGTTTAAAC